ACACAACTGTCACCATTTTTTTCGGTGTAAAGCACACGAATGGGCCCCAGTTCACGTCGAACGCTAATGCAGCATTCGAGTCCAATACGTGCTGAGCCGAATTCACAGGGATGGCGGACATAACATTCTTGTCGAACAAATGCCCAAAGTCTGAAAGCTTGGGGTAATTACAATAGTAGCTACTGTAATTTGTTTCATCAGAATTTGGCAGACGGCAAAGGCTACAGTCTCGGTGAGTCAATACACACATTGGAGAGAGGCACATGACAGCATATCACCAGAGTGCTTGTCTGCACAGATTTGTCACACACCTTCGCTCCGTCTCTCTGATTGGCTCGAGGGGGCTGTGGCGGTTGGCCTTTTCCAAGTAACGGTGATGCGAAGTATAGACAGCCTACACTTTTAAAAAGAGTCTATTGAAGAGACCGAAAGGAATGGCAGTCAACATTTTTCAACAAGACTGCTCTCCAGGCAAGGGATGAACACAAATATGAATCATCTTACCCAGGTAATTAGAACAATTAAATAATTGACCGACTAATACAATACACTCTTGATGGAAAAGAGTATAGCTGCAATAAATCCTACAAAACAGAAAAAATGCGCAGTTAATCTATGCATGCACCAAAACAGTTGTTCTTATAGCAAGTCGAATAGCTTTGAAGCAGGTGCCTGCAACGATTTATTCTTCCCCATACTCAGTAAAACGCCATCCTCGTAGCTGAAAATAAGGGTGCACTTCGCACTCACACACACACAAAAAAAAAAGGAAGAAAAGCGATCGAATGTAGAATCGTGGATTAGCACAAAAGAATCGCAGAAGCTTCCTCGCTAAAAGTTGCTATGGTTGTTCGGTGACGGAGGGCTGAAACAACTTCCCTTAGGCCCTAACGCGACGTATACATTTCGCGTAGATTCTCAGATATTTCAACGTTCAAACAAAGCTAAGAGAATGCGAAAATTTCATGTTAAAAGCTCTCAAAGTTCTATCGGTCCTCGGACACATCCCGGAATCCGAGCACCGGTACGGCGATGCTGTCTCACAGGCGTTAATATCCAGATGATCCAGAGCGATCTTGCGCAAAAACGGTATAAAGTCTCATTCCTTCATATTTTCACATTATACCTGCGTCAGCGAGCACGAAGAAGCCCGAAGTCGTCGGAAAGCAGCTGCACATCACGGCTACCGCTCACCGAACAAACTCGCATCCGCCAGCTCTGGGCGCTGCCATCTTACCTGTGACGTCACGGCTCTTGGGAGGTCACGTGACGAGTGGTCACATTTGCGTAAAATATGGCGGCAACCGGGGGGGTGCCACTTCCGAACTTCCGGTTTATCACTCTAAGCCCCTCTACCTCGTTGATTTGCGCACAAATCACTTGTTAGGTCAAGACTCGAATACGCATCTGCCCATCCGGAACCCTCACCAAGCATATATTAGTAATGAACTTGAATCTGTTCAAAATTGATTCTCAAGGTTCATTCATTCTGCCTACTCATACGATATCAGCGTTTCATCTTTAAAAGCAGAATCCGGCCTGACACCTCTTTCTCTTCGCCGTCGCACTTCCAGCCTCTTTCTCTTTCACAAGTTTTACTACAGCTCGCTCAATCATGCACCTTACATTGTCCCCCCATCACGTATATCTCCACACATTGGTCATCCACTTCAAGCAACGCTCCCACGTGCAGCACTACGACTTTTTTAGCGTCCTTTTTTCTAAAGCAGCAGCAGACTGGAACGGCCTTCCCCCCCACGTCGCCACCATCGCATGTCCATCCGTATTCATGGAGACTGTCGTCAACCACCTTCCGATATGAATGTCTGTCAAAAATGCTTTTATGTGTAACCCCACCCCTTATGTAGTACCACTAACGGGGTTTTTAAGGTAATAAAATGAAATGAAATGAAATGACATTGACAAGGCGTCTCTCATCATAGCCTCCTCTATACTCACAAAGCCTGGCAGTTCGACGACGGAGCCATAGAGTGCCCGGTCGCAGATTTGGAGCGCGAGGATCTGGTAGCACAGAGCATCAAAGAGCAATTTCTCGAGGAATTTGGACGTCAGCGCACAGCTTTCGCAGCGGCGAGGACCCGAAACGCACTTGTTCGCTCGGGAAAAGTGCGTTTCGGCGTCTCGCCGCAGCGGGGGTGCCAGTCACGTGACTGTCCTCTCATCCGTTGTCTGCCGCTCCACCTTTTTCATTTCGGCGGCCGCTTCTCGTGGCAATCTGCCAGGGTTTGTGAGTATAGAGGAGGCTATGGCCCTGAATGCGCGTGCACGCTCGGAACTGACGAGTCTCTGAAGTGTCGTCAAAGGAACGAAGCTAGCGCTGGTGGCCGGACAAGCAAAAGACTTCATTGACTTTCTCATCGCGCCAGTGACTATACTAAATTAATAAACAAGATAAAAAAATGAAAGCCGTCTACAACTCCCTGTAAAGCCGGATTAGAGCGCAGCTCTTGAGGCGGAGAATGAAAGGGTACTGAGGCGATAGGTGACTCCCTGAGGTTCGTGACCTCGGGGGGGGGGGGGGGGGGTAACGTGACCTCAGGGAGGGGTAACGTGACCTCAGGGGGGGGGGGGGGTGACGTGAGGGTAACTCTCATAACTGCCGTGACCCTCGTGATAGTAACCCTCGTGACCCTCACGAGGGGAACCCTTTTGAGGGTAACTAACCCTCGCAACCCTCGTGAGGGTTGCGAGGGTCACGAGCGTAACCCTCGTGAGGGTAACGCTCGTGACCATCGTGAGCGTAACCCTCGTGAGGGTAACCCTCGTGATCCTCGTGACGGTAACCCACGTAACCCTTGTGAGAGTAACCCTCGTAACCTGCGTAACCCTCGTAACCCTCACGAGAGTAACCCTCGTGACCCCTAGTGAAAAAAGTCATTTGTATGCATACCTCGGCAAACCTGATTCATGAGGGCCCTCACTCACCCTCACTCACCCTCATCGTCACAGGTGAGGTGAGGGTGAGTGAGTTTCTGAACCAGGAAAATTCATGAGTGTGAGGGTGAGTGAGGGTGAGTGAGGGCGGTGAGGGCCGTGAGGGCCGTGAGGGCCGTGTGGGCGGTGAGGGCCGTGAGGGCGGTGAGGGCCGTGAGGGCGGTGAGTGGCGTGAGGGTTATGAGTGCGTGAGTGGTGTGAGGGCGGTGAGTGCGTGAGGGGTGTGAGGGCCGTGAGGGCGGTGAGTGCGTGAGGCCCCCTTCAGATCGAGCATCTTCCTCAGCAATTTTGGTGTTAATGGCGGGTTGTTCTCTAGCTTTCCCTAGATCGACACGAATTGCTGAAATCGGGTCCGGCTCGAAATAAGCAAGCGACTCGGAGCAATTCGAATACGTTTGAAGCGGCTGCATCCAATCAGGGACGCAAAATTTTCACGTGATACCTCGTGCCGGTGATGATGACACCGAAAGACTTGGTTCTGGTTTGAAATCGATCGTTTTTTGGAAATAAACTGTTTCAGAAAGGTGCATTAGTATTCTTAACGAGATTTAAATGAATAAAAACACGTTTATAACGCGTAATTGTGTCTAAATAGTGCAAGAAAAATAAAATTTTATGATGACGATGGCAAATCGCAGCAATTGGTTGCTGCATGTGATCGCGGGCGGCCCGTGTTGCTGGTGTTGCGACACAAAGTTTCTGGGCGAAATTGCCCCATCTGAGGCTGCCCTGAGTGGCGTGAGGGCCATCAGTGCGTGAGGGGTGTGAGGGCCGCAAGGGCGGTGAGGGGCGTGAGGGCGGTGAGTGGCGTGAGGGCGGTGAGTGGCGTGAGGGCGGTGAGTGGCGTGAGGGCCGCGAGGGCCGTGAGGGCCGTGAGGGCCGTGAGGGCCGTGAGTGGCGTGAGGGCTATGGGTGCGTGAGGGCTATGGGTGCGTGAGGGCCGCGAGGGCGATGAGGGCCGTGAGGGCGGTGAGGGCCGTGAGGGCGGCGAGGGCGGTGAGGGCCGTGAGGGCGGTGAGTAGCGTGAGGGCTGTGAGTGGCGTGAGGGCCATGAGTGAGTGAGGGCCGTGAGGGCGGTGAGGGGCGTGAGGTTCAGTGAGGGTGAGTGAAGGGCTGAAGGTGAGTGTGACTGTGAGCGTGAGGTTGAGTGAGGGGCTGAAGGTGAGTGTAGCTGTGAGGGTGAGGGTGGGTGAGGGGTTTAGGTGAGTGTGGCTATGAGGGTGAAGGTGAGTGAGGGCGACCTAAAATGCTGACCTCTGTTTGTATGAGACATTTCTCGGGTCCAATAAACACATATGAATCATACAAGGTACATAAGAACATATAAGAAAAATATAAGAGCTATATAAGAACGAAATAAGAATTTTATAAGATATATAAGGACCATATAAGAAACTTTTCACAGGTTTCTTATATGGTGCTTGTATGTTCTTAAATATATTATATAATTTTGATAAAGTTCTTGTACAGTTCTTATATGGTTCTTATATGTTCTTATATATCTTGTATGAATCATATGTGTTTATTGGACAAAGAAATTTCTCATACAAATGAGAATTTTCAATAGGGATGTCATTATGGGAAAGTGTCCAAAATGCAACCCGCGCGTTGCATGCAACGCGCATGCGACACAAGGATACGTTGTTTGCATGCAACGCGTTGCATGCAAGCTTTGCATGCGCGTTACATGCAACGCGCGAGTTGCATAAAACGGGCATGCAACGCGCGGTTACGGAGCTTGCATGCAACGTGCTGCATGCAATCTTTGCATGCGCGTTGCATGCAACGCGCGGTTACGCCTACGGCGACGGCGACGCTGCTCAAGCCGGAAACGGGGGCCTAAGAGCTGCGCTCTAAAAAAACTCCTTTTTTTGGAGTGTTTTGCATCCATCTGGCTCCCACCCATTTTCCACCAGCACACGTACACTGCAGGGCACTGTTCGCGCGTACACGATTTAGGCGTTTTTTTTAGATATTATTTTGCAAAGGGCGGGCATAAAAATTTAGCACTTAGGTTAGTACAACACTTAATTACGACCACTATGGCAGTTTTGATGACAGTCTTTTATTACCGAGAGAAAGGCAGAAACAACCGGCGATGGCCTGTTCGCGCTAACAGCATCGCGGAGTGTACGTGCGAGGACGTGTCAGTTGTGAATGGTTAACGTTTACACGGCAATTTTCTGATGGCCCGTTAGGCTCGGAGCTTGTTGAGCATGCCTGTGTCGCAGAGGGCGACTAAGAGGTCCTTTGTCTCCTTCTGGTTATCACTGTTGCATAATCCACTGACGTCATCGATGATCCCCAATGTCCGGAGAGTGTGGAGCAGTATCTGACGTTGTTTAGACCAGACGTATCCAACGAATGCAGAGGAGATAGCACAGGTCTGGATGCGTCCATTCGCACCACTCCGGCTCGAGCACAGGTCTTCGAGCAGAAAACCGAGCGAAAACTAGAAGTTCATATCACAATCTTTTCGACTCCTTGCATTCAGAAAGGCCGAAGTGATGCATGGCGTTCACTCGACATCGTAAGCGGACTTCCAAATGTCAGCCAGGCAGACGGAAGAGTGGAAGCGGTAGAAGAGCATCAGCGGCACTGTTGTGTGTTCCACGATGACCCAGGTTTGAAGTCCGTAGTAACGATGCCCCATGAAGAACTTGCTGGCCGTCTTGGACTCGAAGGTGTACATGATCCACATGGCGATGTTGACGACCACCAGAAAGGACACGGTTTCTCTGCCCGGCTTTTTGTAGCGCAGCGCGGCGCAGTTGCTGCACCTTCGAAGACCGTCGACGATGAGCGGAGTTTGGGTGACAACCTGCGCCACGGAGGAGACCTGCAGAATAGGGTAATGCAGACATAATTGACCTACCGGTAGCGGGCTGTGTGTTTTCATTTAACTTATCACACTGGGCAAGAAAACAAAAAGGCCTAGAGCCGCGGTGACGCTGTTCGTACACCATACAAAATTCACGATGTCCGCTGTAGAAACAAATAAATAATTTATCTGGGGACAAGTCTCAGACATGTTTACAGCATCCTTGCTTTATACATATATGTATGATTCGAACATGTCTAAGGACAGTTTCTTCATGACAAATGTGACCGTCCATACAAGGAAGAAACATGCCTCAGACAATGTCTGGCGACTGTCTTTTTTATTATGTATTTGCAGTTTGACAGCGGCTTTATGGCTGTGTTAGGATTCAGGACCCATAAAAATATTTAGGTTTCTTTTTGTTATTTATACGGCAGCACATTTCATTTGTGAAATAATGCGAAAGACGCCATGGCGTCTTCCGCATTATTTAGATAATGCGAAAGATCATCACTGCAATAGATCATCAGACAGTGCACTGTCTGATGATCTATTGCAGCGGTCCTCAAATGGGGACCACTGCAATAGATCTTTGCGGTCCCCGGAACCTTTGGGGTCCGCAAAGGCATTTTAGCGAAGCCCTGCCTCATCAGTCAAGCCCGGCAATAAAAGTTGCATTATTTCAGGTCGAGAAGAAACGTTTCAGTTTCTGGGCGAGTTTTCTCGTGTGTATGTCAATAACAGAGGTCTACTTTACACTAGGCCTCAGTTATATCCATTTAATAAATCATTATTATATTTAACCTATACCTTTGCCCTTCCCTCATCACGAACGGGGTGCTCCAATATCTCTGCCGATCCACAAGGGGTCTGTGAAACATCGATGGTTGAGAACCACTGATCTATCGGAAAAGCGATGTGTGAAACCAGCACAAGTAAATTCGAACGTTGTCATGATATTTAAACCAATCATGCGGGAAATTACCTGGCACGACCGTCATAATGCGAACCTCTTGATCCGTAAAACAGAGTAACGCGAGACACTAGGCAGGCATGACAATAATACGACGAAGTGTCATCAAAGGCGAAAAGCTCACGCTGGAGTAGCAAAATAGTTGACTCCTATATTTTCGACTTAACGGTCAACCTTTATCTTTCTATGCTGCGAGAGGAAATTTGTTCTTTTTTTAGCATCATCTCTGACCTGAAGCGCAATCCGGGTGTATGAACCTCCATCTTGAAGCTCGGCAATAACCACCAGGATTCCATAGATGAAGTAGAACGGCAGCGGAATGCAGAGCAGGAAGTCGTCCAGGAGGGTTGTCGGGTGAGTGCTGACATCCAGGATAGAGGTTCGGCTGTAAGCCACGATGCAAGCTGCGAAAGCAAACGACACTAGCGCACCTTCTTGCGTCAGGTAGACCACGGCCGCAGCCGAATTGTACCTCCCGTTGAGAACGGTGAAGTAGAAGATCATCATGAGCACGATGGACGCGAGCAAGACTACGACGCCGGCGAAGATGCCACGATTGGCCGAATGGCAGTCGACACTGATCACGAGGTTCTTGTCGGCCGTGTCTACGGAAGACCGTCGCTGGCTCAGGTTAGGGAACCGCGTGGACGTTCTGATGTTCTGAAGGACTATGAACCACACACCGGCCAGGACAAGGTTGAACTCTATCGTGAACGGGTAGAGGTATGGCAGCGGTGCCAGGTACGTTGGAGAGGGGAAGTCTGGGGAGGAGCAACTTGAGTTGGTGTAGTAGCCCAGCAGCGTTTGGTCACCACTTGCTTGAGCTGAAAGGCAGAATGTAAGGTAAATATACGAATGTAGCCGACTGACCGTGTTTTCATTTCACGCAACGTATGCGCTGCGCCACATTGCTGTCGCGACACGACATTGACACTTTTTCTCATTTTACTTCGAAGGTATGTTTGATAGAATAAAAGTTTACTGCCCAAGTTCGTGCCCCGAATGAACAGTTTCCGTCCGAGTACCAGAATTGATGACAATCCTCCAAATATAAATGCGAAAAAAAAAAAAAACTGTCAATCACTTGCTTGCGTTAACAGTGTCGCGCCGTGTACTTGCAAACTTGTAAGGAAACTATTGTTAGCTATATGAGCTATATGTGTGTCGTTGATACGTACCTTTCTCCCGTATTCCCTTTACGACGTCACCGTAGGCGTCGTCAACTATGGTCCTAAACCAGAAGCAAAGGCTTGTGGCGATGCAGTGCATGATGCCGAACTTCGCAAGACCTATCCACTTGCTGATGACAATCTGCAGCGAGATATATATATATATATATATAGTTCCGTCAGTTGCCTTTCTATATTCGTTACTATACTTCATTTCACTTTAAGTCCAGACGCAGCCGACGCTACGAGATGATGGGACCAATCATACAGCGTGAAAAGCGCAAGACACTGGTTCTTTCCTATATATGATTGGTTCAGCGATGGTAGAACATGTACAGGCACTTGACAATCACCATGACGTTGCGCTTTTGACCCTGCTTGATTGGTCTCAACCGGCTTGTAGCATCGGCTGCGTCATGACTTAAAGGCCGACGACCAAACTCGAGATTCTGCAAGGCAGATGATCCTCTCACCATGGGGGAGGAGGAAACAGAATAAAAGGGGGAGAGAGGAAGCGGGGAAAAAGTGGAAAGCGCGAACTGGTCGTCGGTCTTTAAGGCGAAACGAGGTCAATGTGCGGAAATGGGAGCCGCCGACGTACGTTGGAATACTTGAAGAGGAAGTAGAGCTGGTAGAAGGAGAACACAGGTCGCACAACGTGCACCGCCATCAGCGTAACGTCGGAGCAGGTTTCTCCCCCCTGCTTCCAGCCGATGATCTCCTTGCCGAGCAGCAGGCCCTCCCGGATCAGGTGACCGCAGCAGAACACTGCGAGGTTTGAAACTTCTTGGAGCCAAACACACGTGACGATTCCATTGGGGCACACCACAATCCCATTGGTGACGAATGTGGGCGGATGCAGCGTGCGATTCTCTGACGGAAATTTTGAGATGGAAATGAAATGGAGCCATGCATTGAGACAGTTGCCATCTATATTCTCCTTAATAAATATTACAACTGGATTCCTCTTTTTTTTTTCTTCTTTTCTTTTTTTTTTTTGGGGGGGGGGGGGGTGGGGGTAGAAAAGAAAACTCCTCCCTACCCCTGGCTCTGGGAAAATAGTAAGGCTAACGTTTTCTCTGCTTGCATATATATATATATATATATTTAAATAAACCAGTACATGCCTCATGCATCAAAGTCGTGCCGACCATTGATTTTTGTCTTTTGGTATTGCTTCCTTAGTGGTGAAATCTTCCGGCCTAAACTTTAATTCTGAGTTATATTGTCTGTTCATCGAGGGGAGGGCAGGATATAAATCCATAAGCTTGGAAAGCATATTTATTTAAGGATCTTAATGTAGTCGAAGCATAAAACCAACATACCGGTCATTCCTATTTTGAGGTAAAAGCTGCCGCTTTGCCTGCCCGTGAGGTAGCGGTACCCAAAGGTGGGCCTTGTCGGGTCACCGGCCCAACTCGCGAAGTCGGTTGCTACGGAAGACACGTCGGAACCGGATTCTTGCTGACTCTTGCGATTTCGCTTGGCAGATTTCTCATGGCGACATAGGTCCGCATGCAGAAGGCCCAACCACGTGAGTCCCAGAAGACAAAGGACTGTTGCAAAAATCTGTTCGAAAAGAAAAAATGGTTACGTTGGAAAAGATAGTATTTGAAATTTTAAAAATATCCCAAACAACCGCGCGCAAAGTCTTGTACGCTCCCCCTTGGCTACGCAGGACCTGCCACATGAAACGGGAGAGGGCGAGAGAGAGAGACAGCTGCTCGCGTGCTCTTGCCCGTATTTTCTCAATTGCCGTCTGCTACAAGGCTACAAGCGGTTCTGTACCTAGAGTTTCCAGAGGAGGGCGCTGCACGTTTTCAAACAGGCTGAATGACGTCATGTGAATATAGCCTGTATAAGAAAATCTGTCTGCTGGATAAGCGTGGCTAGTGGTCGAAGTCTGAGAATTGCCTTGGAGCAGCTTGTTTTTGCCGTTCACTATAGCTCGATACAATAGTCATGAATATCTGACAAGTATGTTTCTATTTTGCAATTTATTTGAAATCAAAGGTACACAATTTGTTGTTTACAATTGCACACTTCCAATTGCGCGCAAAAGTTTGACGTGTATTAAAAACCTAAGGTTGAGGAGCTAAGGTTGAGGCTAAGGTTGAGCTAAGGTTGAAGAGCAGAAAACCAGAGGGGCAGAAGGGCTACACAAAACACGATCTCTCCTAAAACTCTGCTCTGCGTAGAATACGTTTTTCTGGCCTTTTGTTTTTCTTCTTTCTAGCTTACCCCAGTCTGGGACGACATGGTTTGGAGACATGCTCTGTAAGGATTAAAGGTACGGACTTACGTCGTCGATGATTATTATGTGTCCGCCGACCACTTGAAATGGCTGCAGGACGGTCGTCACGCCTCCGAAGACAACCACGAAGATGGCGTAGATGTAGCTCAGAAGTGTCGTGAGGGTGCCCCTGCAAAAGTAAACATGACGGGACACTACAAGGAGCTACAAAACACTCAGTTTTAGCGCACCCTGAAGGTTGCCTCACGCATTTGCTTTTGACTGTGCCAAGTGCGCCGAGTGTGTTGTGGTTTCTTGTAACCGTTGGCACACTGGCCCCATCTTTCAGGTAAACCCGGTACACTTTCAACATGTGTATGACCAGACCATAGCCTCTTGTATACGGGCAATGCCTGCCCAGTCGCTGGTTGCCAGCTATCACCACAAGGGTGCGCCGCTTGCCCATACAAGATAGAAAACGTGAACGACGTGAGCAACGTGATAAAGCCTCTCTCGTGCGTTCTTGCGGTCTTGGTTATGTTGTGGGGTCTTGGTGTAATAGCTGTAAGTCGCACTTAAGCAATTAGCGTTTTCTTTTTTTACCACATTTCTTGCCGCGTTTTAGGCAGAGTCGGAAAAGATTGTGCCGGGATTCTTATTTCCCGAGATACCAAGTAAGAGCCAGGATCATAGAAAAGTGACTTAAGCTCATATTGAGGAAAGTCTATGAACAAAATTCTACCTCCTGCTTTTCAAGAATATCTAGTAAACACCTTTTCCTTTTTTAAGGACATTAAGGAAAGTTTGTCTAGACACGACTTCCTTGCTGTCCTTTTCATTGAATCCTAATGCATGCTGCTGAGGCTTCCCTCAAAGCCCAGCTTGGTTCGAGCCCCCCTGTTCCCAAAGCTGGATCAGACAATGTACCCTTCCACGACCTCTATCGGTAATGTTTGACTGGCTGACCTGTCCAGCTTTCGCGCACCTCGATGTAGAAACGGGCCCCTGACGACCTCACAGTACGCCATTACGAAACGTGAGCCCCGGTAGAGCACACACATTTCTCAGTGCTTCGTAGCGATAGTAACCCCAGAAGACCCTGGCTGTTGAAATTCCTCTTCACCCTCCGCTCTTTGCCTGGTCCTTGACCTCAGAAATAAAAAGCTTTCAGTGCTCGCTGTTTCGACATTGCGAGCGTTCACGAGGTCGGCCATTTGGCTATAATCCTTATCGGGTCATATCTACCGTCCACTACATTTATTGACTATTGCAAACAACATATGTCGCTGCTCGCCCGCTATGAAGTATGCGTTCCGAAAATATTCAAATCACGTACGTTGCGGCAGTGGCAGGGCGCAGTGGACAAGCATCGTCTTCATTGTATGGGAAGCTGGCGCCTCTGGCGGTGATTATGTGAAGCAGGCGCAAAGGCGCCAAAGCATGGGGAAGCGAGCAATCGGGCAGGCATTACTGAAGGTTTTGTAGTATTTCCGAGATCAGATGCACGCACTATCTAAAGGAACAGTCGCTCATGGCATTGTCAGAATTATTTCAGACCGACAGTGCGGGAATTATGAGTAAACCATAACATATATGTTAAGTGTTTCAGGAAACGCGAGCCAAATCGCTCCTGCGAGAACTATACGCAATACACAGGAAAAAAAAAGAAAAAAGAAAACGTTGGTGACGTAGGGGTTTGTGCCAAAGGATTGATTAAGAAAAAAGTATTAGCGTTCAGTATAATCGCGTAATTATTTAATTTTCAGTAATAACATTCTTATTCATAATTTTTAAAGGTTTGGGTTTAATAAGACAATTGCTGGGCGTCCCATCGACAGCTATACTAAATCCCTTTAAGTTATACAGTGATGTAAGGCACGCGAAACTCCTTGCGGCGAAATTATCAATATATATATTTTTTTAGTGGAGCAAATTTTTGCGCAAGCAACCCCCCCCCCTCCCCCGTTCTTTCTCTCCCCGTGTCTATAATACGTAACATGCGCGCGTCGCCACGCATCGCACGTAAAGGTGCGTCTTCCAATTGCCACCGACGTCAAAAATGCAAGATTCATGTGACAGGCTTCCTTATCTAGCCTTTTGTACGTGCAATGCGTGGCGGCGCGCGTTTTGGCCACGGGTAGCGGGATTGCTCGCGCGGGGATGCGCTCCGATGAAAGACCGAAACCCAGGAACGCGTCCAAATGGAGCATTTTTTTTTTTCAGAACGCCTTAAAATGGTGCGCTTGCCTAATATCGTTTAAAGGAAAGCTGAAGTAGTTCTTTCTGTATTGGAATAAGAACATTTAAATCGTCTTTGTTTGACCTCCAAAATCACAAACATCGAGATCTGTTTTTCTTTTTTTTTTTAGTTTGGTGCAATGAGGCTGCAGAAAATCATTTTCAAAGGTTCCGCCGAAGTACCTCCTTCCCAAAGCGTGGACTTCATAAAATGAGTTTTCGGAAACTCCGCTCTCGCGCATTTTCAGCACCTGTCGAAGCTGTGCGCGAGCACTCTCGCTATTTTAAAAAAAGGTCAGAAACAGACGTGATGACTGTTGCGACTGCACGCGCTGACCACACGAGCGACACGCGCTTGGCGGCCGAAAGACCTTTTCATGACGTAACGACTGGTCGGAGGTCTTTCGTGTTTTGTAGCGTTTAGTTACATCTTCGGAGGAAAACAACATGATATTGAGACTCACGGAATAAAAATACTCTAGAATTCATTCATAACTGTTTTTTTTTATTTAAAAACCTCTTCAGTTTTTTATTTTTTTATTTTTTAACGTTTGTGTATTTAGTACTTTTCAACGATGCCCAGCAAGATTAAAATTGCAACCATGCCTTTAAGATAAATCATTAAAGGGTTCCTGAAAATAAGCACAAAAAAGGGATTTTTTCTTAAACAGTCTGGTTGGGACGCAAGTTTAAAAAAAAAATTTCCGCGAGAAAAACATTTTTTTTAGAGCAATGTTGACGTGGAGAGATTTATTTGAAGTCCATGAAAAAGTCCATGACAACGCGGGTCATTCCAGAATGACCATCTGGATCTTTCGCTTTTTCCACCTCAACGTGATGGCAAAGCCAATCCATCTCTCCCACACGCGCCCGAAATACCGAGAGAGAAAACAAGTGGAGGTTATTTTTTTCCGCGTAAGACTCTTTTTTTTTTTTGTTACGCGTCTCCCAGCTGAACTGTTAAAAAACATTTTTTAGGGGTTTTTAAACAATTTTATTATTCCAAGCCTTTTTCCTGCACGATCCGTAGTTTTCGCCGGAGCGATTTGACCCGCGTTTCCAGAAACACCCTGCATACACGAGTTAGAAATCTTCTAGTGCCACTCAATAAGTGGAGCCAGTGTACCTGCGGATAGAGGAGATCACAACAAAGGCTGGATGGTACATATCAAGCAGCCACGATTTTCCCCCTAACAAGATGTTGATCGACTGAGATCGCACCAGGCTTGGCGCACTATGATGATGGTCACGGTCAAACGCGCACGAAGCAAACTTCGATCTGCTATCTCTACCTACCATAGCACTCCTCGGTTGTGTCGCCTGGAGATCTCGAGGGAAAACGAGCGGTTTCGCGTGCGTCCTTGCGTGGAACTTCGCCTCGTGTCGGACACCGAACAGGACAGGATTCCGCTTCTGGAGATGGCGTAGGCCGAGCCGAACTTGTCGTTCTTGAGAATCGCCGAAATGCTGGCGCTGCAACGCCGCGCGTACGGTGAGCTCGTTCTCGGCTGTGTGGGAGAACACGGGGCAAAGGTACATGTACCGTCAAATCTGTGTTTGTGTGTGTGTTTTATAAGGGGAGGGGAGAATTACGGTAAAGTTGGGGTTGAGACATCATAGTTGCCAGGGGTGAATGTTTGAGATTAAAAAAATTAAAAAGTGACAGCCGCTTACAACTCCCTGTAACGCCGAATTAGAGCGCAGCTCTTGAGGAGGAGGAGGGAAGGGCACTGGGGGGGGGGGTTAAACTAACCAGGGGGGGGTCACGTGACCTTGGGGGGTCACGTGACCCCAATGCCGATGATGTCATCACTGACGTCACTGATGACGTTATCAGTGACGATGACGATGCGGGTACCGATGACGTCATTAGTGACGTCACTGATGACTTCACCAGTGATGATGACGATGACGATCCGAATGTCGGTGACGTCATCAGTGACGTCGCTGATGACGTCATCAGTGATGATGACGATGACGATGCGGATGCCGGTGACATCAGTGACGTCACTGAGGACGTCATCAGTGATGATGACGATGACGATGCGGATGTCGGTAACGTCATCAGTGATGATGACGATGACGATGCGGATGCCGGTGACGTCATCAGTGATGATGACGATGACGATGTGGATGTCGGTGACGTCATCAGTGATGATGACGATGACGATGTGGATGCCGGTGACGTCATCAATGATGATGACGATGACGATGTGGATGCCGGTGACGTCATCAGTGATGATGACGATGACGATGTGGATGCCGGTGACGTCATCAGTAATGATGACGTCATCAGTGATGATGACGATGTGGATGCCGGTGACGACATCAGTGACGTCACTGATGACGTCATCAGTGATGATGACGATGACGATGTGGATGCCGGTGACGTCGTCAGTGATGATGACGATGACGATGTGGATGCCGGAGGCGTCAATCGGTGATGATGACATAATCAGTAATGATGACGATGACGATATGGATGCCGGTGACAACATCAGTGATGATGACGATGACGATGCGGATGTCGGTAACGTCATCAGTGATGATGACGATGCGGATGCGGGTGACGTCGTCCGTGATGATGATGATGACGATGTGGATGCCGGTGACGTCATCAGTGATGATAACGATGACGATGTGGATGCCGGTGACGTCATCAGTGATGATGACGTCATCAGTGATGGTGGCGATGACGATGTGGATGCCGGTGACGTCATCAGTGACGATGACGTCATCGGGGGGTCACGCGACATCGGCGGGGGTCACGTGACCCCGGTGGGGGGCTCGCGCGGTGCATTATGGGACATTTCCCATGATGCACCGCGCGGTTACGCCGACGGCGACGGCGACGCCGACGGCGACGGCGACGCCGCTCAAGTTGGAAACGGGCCCCTAAGAGCTGCGCTCTAAAAAGTGAAAGCCGTTTACAACTCCCTGTAACACCGAATTAGAGCGCAGCTCTTGAGGAGGAGGAGGGAAGGGTACTGGGGGGTGAAGTGACCTGGGGGGGGTCACGTGACCTTGGGAGTCACGTGACCTTGGAGGGTCACGTGACGATGCCAGTGATGTCATAACGTCACTGATGACGTCACCGACATCCACATCGTCATCGTCATCATCGCTGATGACGTCATCGGAGTCCGCATCGTCATCGTCACTGATGACGTCATCAGTGACGTCACTGATGACCTCACCAGCATCCACATCGTCATCGTCATCATCACTGATGACGTCATCAGTGACGTCACTGATGACGATGACGATGCGGATGCCGGTGAGGTCATCAGTGACGTCACTGATGACGTCATCAGTGATGATGACGATGATGATGCGGATGCCGGTGACGTCATCAGTGACGATGACATCATCGGGGAGGTCACGTGACCCTGGGGGGTGGTCACGTGACCTCGGGGGTCACGTGACTTTGGGTGTCACGTGACCTGGGGGTCACGTGACCTCTGGGGGTGACGTGACCTTGGGGTGACCTTGGGGGCCACGTGACCTTGGGATGACCTTGAGGGTCGCGTGACCTTGGGGTGACCTTGGTTACGCCGACGGCGACGGCGACGCCGACGGCGACGCCAACGGCGACGCCGACGCCGCTCAAGCCGGGAACGGGCCCCTAAGGGCTCATTCACACTGGAAGCGGATCCGCGTTCGCAAAGCGGTTGCGAACGCGGTTGTATAAGGATTCAGTACAATTGCACGCGCATTTGATGACATCAAATGCGCGTGCAATTGCACTGGATCTTCATACAACCGCGTTCGCAACCGCTTCGCGAACGCGGATCCGCTTCCAGTGTGAATGGGGGGTAAGAGCTGCGCTCTAAAAATGAGAGACGTTTACAAATCTCTGTAATGCGAAACTAGAGCGCAGCTCCTGAGGAGGAGGAGGGGAGGGTACGGAGGGGAGGGTATGTCCCTCCTTCTCCTCCTCCCTTCGTTTCCTCCTCCTTTCTTCCTGCCGCTGAATTTGTTCATGGGTGACGTGACATGAAGTCGTGACGTCATTGGGGAAACTGAATTTGTGTTGAAATCACGTGATGTCAATTTCCCCGCTAAATTTAGCGAGGAAACTTAATCCGCTAATTAGTGGGGAAATTTTCCCGCTAAATTTAGCGGAACATTTTCCCGCTAAGTTTAGCGGAAAAGTTTTCCCGCTAACTTTAGCGGGGAAACGTCCCATAATGCAAGGCGCCGTTACACCGTCGCCAACGCCACTCAACCCATAAACGGGCGCCTAAGAGCTGCGCTCTAAAAAGAAAAAGAAAAGTCGGGCAAGGTACACCGCCGTTTAGAACTCATGACGTTAGTATGCCATGTTTTGAAGTGACTCCTTCCTCCAGTGTAGACTGAAAAAGTGGTGCAACGATTTCCGTACTTTCGGTAAATACCGCGGTAAATACACGAGAAAGTACACACGGGGTGTTCGCTGCATACGCGACGACAGAACTACCTGCGCACACGCCTCAAGCATATTCGAGCCTCGAGGAAAGTCTGTTTTTTACATATATGTGCCTAGATGAAACATATGCTGTCTCTTGTAGGATGTATTGGCAGTGTGACCGGGGGTTCACGCGGGAGCCTGCAATTCACTCCGCTCTCCTTGCGGGATAGAGCCACTCTCATCCCGGTTTGATTGATAATGAGAGATATCGGTCTCACTCGTGGTCTATATCATCTAGCCGCGGACTGATACCATATACGCGACACGCTTCGCGGTGTCGTTCCGAATGCGGTCGATAGCAGTCTCACGCGCTGCGTGTCGAGTCGATAAGCGGCGTGGGGCGCTCTGCAATATGCTCCAAAATTGTGGGCGTCGTCTACGAACAATGCCTCCGCCAGCGATAAGAGCCCGTAAACTTGCTTGTCAAGCATTAGCCTAACGACTTACCTGTCCTCACGCAATTTTGGAATCATCATATTAGCTCGAATGAATTTCGTTACTTAATGTTGTGGTTTTCGTCTTATTTTACGGCAGAAGAGTCGGTACCGCCACCATCATCATCATCACTATCTTCGTCATATTAATTTTCGTCTTCATTATCATTGTCACCATCGCGACCACAAACGAAAATATAGAATTCGGCAAGGAATTTGACCGTATGCACTGGCAGCGGAAGGGAAGGCGCTCGAAAAATATTCCCGATGTCTAGCTTAACCTAAAGTCACTGGGTCCCGGAAAAGTAGCGTCATTACCTTCCCTGTCTGCTAGCCGGACACAAACATGTACTGACATACAGACGACCGAACCTCGCAAGCTGATGATTGGCTCATCGGTTTTAGTTGCCATGAAAATCACCATTTCGGTGCATTCAAATCTTCGAAACTTCGAAAGAATCGTTCTGGAGCAGTCGCGCGAAGATGGCGTTCCTCGCCAACAGAAGCGTCTTTCGAACTGTGCATGCTATTATAATCATGCTCATCTATACAGATTCCTTATAATGGCATTGTTATTCTTGCGTATTTCAAGCCAGGAAAAGTATTTTTCAGTGCCTCCAGCTGGCACGACGCCGCATCTGGTGGCAGTACGAAAATGTATGCTTGTTTTGCCGGTGTGTGGACAGCAAAATCTAGGTATACAAGAAACGGCTTTATAACGCTACCGGTCACCAGCGAATTTAGATCGGCTCACCAAGGATGGAGAGGTCGAGGAAGAACTGCTCATTCCATGAACGAAAATGGCGACCTACATGGCGCTTGGCGTTACTTTCCCAGGATCCAGTTACTTTAGCGTAACTATACCAACCTATTACTTTAGAAAAAAAAAACTACGGAAAGTAACGTATGACACAGCAAAGTCACCTCTTCAGAAATTGAGCAAACGGTACCAGACGTACCTACACCAAGACCGCGTAAAGGCCCATTCACACAAGAGCGTGTGCTTACGCTTTCTTACGTTACGTTATAAGTCACCGAAATAAGGTCGGTTCAAACAGGGGCGCATTCTTACGCAACGTTACGTCCCGACCGCTTAGGACCGCTTACGTCGCGAGTCACGTGGTCATCCGTGCTTCGAATGAAGGGTGACGACCGCTTCAAGGAGTAGCCTTGCACGCGACATGCGAAACACCAATGTCTCAATGACTCCTCACGTAACCTAAGAAATCGTAAGCAAACGCGCCCCTGTGTGATCCGAGCTATATCCGTGCCTCGAACGTCACGTGCAAGGCTCCTGTTCCAACTGGTTGCATTGCGCTTAATACGAAGCACAGATGTCCCGGCGACTCGCCGTTCACCCTTCAGGGCGATTCACACACACTTGCGTTGAGTCCGACCGAGGGCGAGGGTTGCTATGGAAATAGCTGCGTCGGCTCCAACAAAACGGGGTAAAAACCGGTTTTGTTGGAGCCGACGCAGCTGTTGCTATAGCAACCCTCGCACTCGGTCGGACTCAACGCAGGTGTGTGTGAATCGCCCTTGAAGCTGAGACTGCAGTCGATGCCGCAAAACTCAAGCACGAAAGCACGAGACCTCGACTTGGGAACGATCGTCCGTAGAACGAGCGCTCGATCCCGCTATAGTCAGTTACAGGTTAAGAAGGTAGCGGCAAATGCCCCTCAAAGGGAATCAGATATCCCTCCGCCAACCCCGCATCCAATAGCGTCCCACCGTTTCCGTGACGTCGCGGCCAACGCGCGAGGAGGGTCTTGCCTTTCTGTACATATTTGCTTTATCTTTCGACTTTGACTTAGCATTGTGGAAGCCACGAGAGGGAGATTAGAGTTCTCCCCCCCCCCCCCCCCCCCGACGGAAACAAATACGAGTTTCGGGGATTAGCTTCCCCCCCCCGATGGATACAAAGGCTGCTTTCAGGGGCTCGGTTCCCTCTCCGATGAATACAAAGGTCGCTTTCTTAAAAAGTAGGATCGGAGACAAGTGGGAATCCATTGAAGCGGAACAAGGAGCGTTTCCAGCGAACTCTTCTTTCGACTGCGGAGAGATTTGAAACGGGCGCATCACACTTGTGGGAGGAGCTTCTCCTACCTTCTTGGCTGCCGCCATGTTGCTGGTGCTGATGCGGCTGGTGCGACTCTCGCGCACCCTATCAGCCGGAAATTTTCTACTACTCTCTTGGACTGAGGAAACCCGCTCAGAGTGATTCTCTACCTTTGTTTTGCGGGTTGGCATTCGAGGTTTTCTGGCCCCTCTTGAAAGTTTCTGCTTAATTTTTCTGATGCATGCTGAGTTCCCATTCTGTGTTATCTTCCACTGTGAAAAATAGGGCTGGTAAGTGCCTGCCATTCAAACGTTTCTGCTCGACATTCACGGGAAACGAGGGAGGGAAAGACGTCGAACGGACCACGACGCGATTTTGCGAACAATGACAGCCATAGGCGTAGACTACGGGGGGGCATCGGGGCTCGTGCCCCCCCCCCCGGGTGAGATCCGCGAAAAGCAGAGCCCCCCCCCCCCCCCCCCCCCCAGTCCCGGGCCATGATCCTTACCAAGACGCTGTTTACGTGCCATGTAACGAGCTTCTAGTAGTGGCATGTAAACAAAATAACGCCCACATTGCCTTTATTGACAAAATACATGGGAAATGGAATTTCAGGGTGCTTACGTTAGCTTTAATCTCCAGTTCTGGCGAAAAAGTAACGAGGGCGGCTTCCAGGATGGTCTATTCGCAAACCCAGCCGCCGCTCGCCCTCTCGCGGCCGAACGAAGAACTAGAGGAGTGGGGACGGCGGCCGCGGAGGCGGTGGACTTTCGGCCTTGGAGCTGTTGTTACCGCGTGGTTCTGGTTGGCGTGTTCGGGCATCGTGCAGTTTTAACGAAAAAAAAAAAAACATGCAAAAATAGCAATTGTCGCGTTCCGTCTCGCAAACTGTTAAAAATCAACATGCTCATGTTCATAACGCACGTCAACTTCTTCGTCACCCGTGATATGGTCCGGCCCTGACCGCTTCGTATTTGTAGCCAAATGAATGTTAGCACTCTGGCCAGCGTCAGTGAGCGGGCGCATTAGACAGATGTTATCTTAAGGGGTATTCACACGAGGGAGAAATCCCGGGGATTTCTCCCCGGCACGCGCATCCCACGACGAAAACGTCAGGCTTTGCGATGTGCAAAAGCCTCGCGTTTTCATCTCGTGATGCTCGCGTGCCGGGGAGAAATCCCCGGGATTTCTCCCTCGTGAGAATACCCCTTATCAACTCGCGCAAACTTCAAACCCCCATAAGCATTGCTCCTTACTCCGACAACCAGGCCTTGTAAGGACTACTTCTCGCCGCGCATGAACAATGCGTAAAATTTGCTTTTTTCTTGAGGTGCAAACGAGTATAGGTGGTATTAGTCTATACCCCTTTCAGCGTTTTTTGTCGCTTAGGCGAAGAAATGCATAGTCACTGGGCTGTAAACACGCGTTGACGTCTGACAATTCGCGGACGAGAGCTCGTGTGCAATGCCCAGAACGTGTCTCACAGCACAGCAGAACGATGTGCAATGGTCCGTACGTACCTCGGCTTCCGACGCCACGCCTCCCGTTTCCAGTCGGTCCATTCTCACGCCCTCCGCGGAAAAACCTTCCCCGGTATCACCAGCGTCGAGACGATCGCTCTTGAGCGATTCGTGGATCGCTTCGCGACAGGTCCTTGAGCCGGCGCTTTGGGACGAAGCGCTCGACTCCGACACACCGCTGTCGCTGCTTCTTCGGTCCTTTCTGGAAGAAGGCGGCTTCAAGCGCGCGCTGAGGTACATCTTTTAGCTGACTCGGCGTGAGAGAGACGGCAAGACTCTGCTAGTGGCAGGAGGAAAAATTGGTTGCGATCTGTTGGCAAACCTGTCCGAGGTAAACTCTCCAGATAAGATTGGATCGATCTCTCCCAGCTGTGTACTTATCTTGCGGTAGTTTCCCTCGCAAGTGTGTTGTCCAGAGCGTTCTTTTTATTATTATCACTATCCTTGATCATGTACGCGCCAAGAGAGTTTGAGGTTTCGATCTAGAAAGTACCGGCCTCTTATCTGATACAGCGTGTGCGGTTCGCCGGCTGCGCAATTTAGGAGCCAAGGGGGTGCGCTCACGCATGCGGCGTGCGCCCTTCTTAGCGCTTGCTTTTCTTTTTAAAGCCGGGGCGACACTGCTTATACATCGTACAAAAAAAAAAAAAAAGTCTGCATAGAGGTTAGAACTTGAGTCACCGTGAAATCTGTGCTTCGAAGGCCGCATGAGTATGCTTTCAAGAAAAATCTTTGCAGGCGGCATTCGAACCACGGATATTGTGGTGGCTCGTGTTGGCAGACTGTCTTTTGTATGGAGTATAAGCAGTGCGACCCCGGCTTTAAGCTCAAGCTTTAAGCTTGAGCTCACGAAGAGCTCAAAGAGAAACTGCTTATTCCATGAACATGAAGCGGCTACCATTTGAGGAGCTTGGAACCACATTCTAAGGATCCAGTGACATTACTTCCAGCAAGCTCGTGCAAAGTGAAACAAAAAAAAAAACATTTCAGGTGCATATCCTAGTACCGCCCTCTTAAACGCCGGTCGCGCAGGAGTGGCAAATAAGGAATCCCGAGAGAGTGTGTTCATAAGATGCAGCATAAAATGTATTGTGATTATAATGCGTTTTAACTTGTTGGCACATGGGCTTTCATCTTCAACCTTTTGACGCCACTGTCGACGTCTGTCGACATTATCCCTGAACAGTTTGTTGCAGTGGGTGTCACACATCGTTCTCCAAGGTAAGGAAAAGCAGAGCTAATACTGATCGCGTTCGTTATCCCTGATGGAATTTGTCTTTAACACCGCCGCCTCGTATCTTTTAGAAAATAAAATAGTTTTAACAAAACGTATCCACGATTCGGACCCCTCGACGGATCTATATAGGTATAATTTCATGGGTATCTAGAACAAAATAAAATAAATAAGCGAGCCAAAATACTGATATTCAAAATGAACCGCCGTTGGGCAATAAACGATCTCAATTTTAGGTTCAGGGGCGTCCAAAAGAAGTCGCTCGCTCCAAACTCTGAGTTCTCATCCCCCTCGCGAGGAGGCAGCACTGGTCTCTCGGAGTGGGGCGTCGTCGAGGAGTCGCTTCGTCACTTCCGGAACCCTCAGGAATTCCGCTTCCGCGTACACGCTGAACAACGTCACTTGGGGAGACCCCAGGAGGGTGGTCGCAAGACCACTCGTAGAAGCGGCCGAAAAGTAGCGGCCGCGGTCTTCTGGCAACCAATCGCAGCGCAGCCAGGAAAGCCAGACCGTCGTGAAGTTTCGTATATCGCGTTTGGTCACGAGGCAGCTGGGTTGGAAACAGAATATTCGGCTCGTTACTGGAACATGTGCTGTACTTCGCGTCATCCCAAAATGAACTAACGCCAAAGCTACGCCTAGAAAATACTAGTACTAATACTAATAATACTTCATTTGTACTCGGGAGGGATTACTCAGGAGCACAGGGTCACAAAAGGAAAATCCGCCCACGCCGGAATGGCTTGTGTAACCAGGGGTCTCAAACATGGGACGCGGCTCGCAGGCAGTCGGCTACGAGTTCCGGTTCCCATGTCTCGAGCGCTAGAAATGACATGCGCCATTGTGATCGCATCTCGCCGATTCATTTTCGCTCGAAAAGTAGTTCTTTTATTCACGTAGTTTTTACTTATCTAGGTTCATTTGCCCTTTGTTTTGCTTTACTCTTTTGCTTCCCTGCCTTTTGTTATGTGCAACGATTCCGCTACTAGTGTGCAAGCTCGAGCTCTTTGTTGAAGGATGCATCTCGGCTGCGCGAACTCTCGATCAGCAGGACGAACTGCCAAAGAAAAAGCTACGAGCTCGGGATTCTTGCCTTAAAAAAAGTATCACCATTAAAATGCAAGTATTTGCTCAGGATGCTTCAATAATAATCGTCAGGAAAGCAAGCCCTGTCAAATTAATTTTTTTTAGACATGTTGAGCTTGGTTAATTTCTTAGTGACTTGGGCAATGGGAACGACAGCGTACTTGCTCTCTTCTTCTTTTGAAATGCCAGCACGTTGGCGGGGCGGTCTCATTTTAATTCTTGCTATCACATCAGGTCAGGGCGCAAAGTAGTCATATAAACAAATCAAAACTAAAGATGTGACTGGCAAAACTGAGTTTACAAAGAGCATAGTGCACGAGGTTTCTTCTTTTAATTATTTTACCACCCCCCCCCCCCTCCCCGTCTACGTTGACCCTCGGCCCTTCCAGTATGGGCTATCTGGCCCCCACTCTCCAATGAGTTTGAGACCACTGATATATACAGGGTGTCACAAAATAAAATTTACACGGTCTTTTTCACCGCAAAAATAAACTAGGCGTCGCCGAACGCCCATTCCGAGCATAGGTAGAAGATACGAATGTGCTAGGAGAGCTACAAAATAGGTTCCAAAAAGAAAGAAGGCAATTTATTTTCATTGAACACAGTGTTTCAAGGTGGATAGCTGAAAAGGAAGGTAGACCCCTCTGGTAAGCCTTCTTAGATATAAAGAGGGCTTAGAACAATATCATTCAAGGCAATTTGTGGAACATAAGGATGTAAACGAAAAAATATGGAAATTTTTAAGCAATATTTACAAAGACAACATATGGTACTAATAACATGGGAAGGAAAGAGGACAACGCCAATAGAGATAAAACAAGGTCTTAGATAGGGACGGCCTTTGTCGCCACTGTTTTTCATGTTGTATCTCCAAGGATTAAAGGAAAAGTTTAAAAAAAGCCACAGGTTAGGCTTAGAATTCAGTTGTGACATGGTATTCAATGATGACGTAATTGCAGAGCAAAAGATACAAAAATTAGAATTTGACCGAGTCGATAAATGCAAGTATCTAGGAATATGGATTAACGAGGGTATAGAAAACCTCAATGAACATGCAAAATGTGACTGGTAAGGGCCACAAAAATCAAGCTGTAATGAAAAATAGAGTACTGTGGAACTATAACAGGCATGAGGTAGTGAGGAAGATCTGGAAAGAAGCTATGGTTCCGAGCCTGACTTTAGCAAATGTAGTTTTGTGCATAAAACTGGACGTCCAGACAAGACTATGGAAATAAAGAACGTGGAGTTGGTGGGTTGGTTCTGGGAGCACATGGTAGAACACCGAACCAAGGTGTACAGGGCGATATGGGATGGTTCTCCTTCGAGGACAGAGAAGGTAGCTGTAAGATAAAATTTTATGATAGGCTAAGAAAAATAGATGCAGAAGGAAGGGCACGAACGGTTTTTAGCTGTTTACACATGAGAAGCGTCGATGCAAAATAAAGTAAACTAGAAAACTTGAATCTAAACATATGGGCAATAGCAGGGAGGTGGATGGGAACTAAAGGTTAAGATGGGAGTTAAAGAAACTGAGATGGAGATATGGGAAGCAGGCATGCAGACTAAATCGACCTTGGAAATTTACAGATCGTTTATGGACATTGCTAAGGAGCCCATCTTCGACAATTCTAGGGCGAGCTCTTTGTTGTTCGAGGCGAGGACGGCAGTGTTGCGGACTAAGACATATAGAGCTAAATATCTGGAAGTAAATACGGTGTGTGTCTATAGCTTGTTGAGAGGAGGAGGAGACGGCTGAGCACTTGACACTTTAATGTAAGGAGCTTCACCATGTAGTAGCTGAGGAGGCGACAAATTTGAGAAGCGCACTGGGATTTAGGGATTGTGAGGAAAAAACAGGCATGGGGAAGATGGAAATAACCAAGAAGAGATTCTCTGACTGGTGGCATAGGTTAAGGGAAGGATGAATATTTTCTTATTGCCCTCCGGGCGACCTGTACGGCGGAAGGTGTGTGCACCCGATTGCATAGAAACGCGTCCGTCGTACGAGTCGTTACTTTTAAGAATTAATCTTAGATGTTAAAAGGAAAGATGAAATATATGTTAGAAAGGAAAAAAAAAAAACCGACTAGGTGGTGCAAGTCGCCGCCCGACTCAAAGCGGTCAGCTTCATCCAGTCATCCATCCGTCCATCTGTTGGTTCGGTTTTCGGGAATCGATACCAAAGAAATGTTCACGTTTTTCTGCTTTATGCGGCGCCAGCTGACATTTTCTGCCGTTTTTCTTGCTGTGCATAAAAAAAAGAGAAAAAAAAACAACAACAGATGTTTTAAAGCTTAAAATGTTTTTCTGAAAACCGTTTTAAGCGTCAGTCGAGCTTCAAATCTCCAACAACATTTATGCCCCAAAAATAATAATTTACGAGAGTATGAAAACATTCTATATATATGGCTAACTAACAAACCATTTTCACATTTTTTTAGTGGTCCCCATGCATAACACGAAGGCAAAAACAAAAACAAAAAAAAACCTCATGCAAGATTTTTTTTTTCTTTTTAAATGTTTATTCCTCTAAAAAATAAAATAAACACCGTGAGCTGTATACTACGTGACTTCTAATTCTCTCGTGATTGGGCCTGGCGGCTCGAAAACGCCAAGGACTCGACACGCACTGCGTTTATTAAAATGGCGGTTACTATACGGAGCGCAGTTTCATCTGCTTCTTCTGCAAGGGTTGTGGTGACGTCAGATTGCCGAGCTCTGATTGGCCCTGACTGGAAGAGTAGCGGGTAGACCTCAAGCCTCAAGGCAGCTTGCTTTGAGGTCTACCCACTATCCTTTCAGTCAGAGCCAATCAGAGCTCTGAGTTCTGACGTCATCACAACATCTGCAGAAGAAGCAGACGAACTTGTGCTCTGCCTAGTTGTTAACACGTGCAGGCAGTTTCGATTGAAGGGTATACTTTCGCTCTTGGTTTAGTAGACGGCGTGGCTTGTTTTGTATTAGGACTTAGCTTGCGCACCTCGTTTCCCTCTCGCGTCGCAATATTGTGCGTGTGTGTTATCGTCAGTTTTGCGTGCTATATTTGTGCGAAGTGTGAACGGTTGATTGGGCCTCGTCGGGCAGACCTTATCTGCCTTTTGTTCTCGTAGCCGATATCATAAGTGTCTGAGTAAAGCAACGATAAGGAAGACTTGCAGATACGT